ACACGGTCCGCCGAACAGCCGGCTGTAGCCCCGATCAGCCCGTGGCACTCCAAGGCAATGTCGTTCTGGGACATTCCAGGCATCAAGGCCGGCGTGGTCTTGGCCTCGCCAGTCCGTAGCCTTGCGGCCTTGCGTGTGGCTTGAAAGCCGTCCTGTTTACATCGGGTCGCTTAGCAACTTAGTGCCGCATGTGCAGAGCTAACCGTTGCTGAGATTTCGTCGTCCAAGGTCACCGGCGATGTTGCATGGGCGCTGCTTCAACATGCAAAGGCCACGTTGTTAAAGTAGGTGATTCACAGTCACTTGGCCTGCTGGCAAAATGCTGACTCGTGCCTGCATGGGCATCGCAAATCGCGAGGAGCACCACTATGCCATCCCCGCCTTCAACTGCACAAGCCTGGACCATACCGCCGTAAGCCGTGCCAGCAAAGTCGTGAGGGTCGTGGATGAGCTAAGGCACTAGCACCATCAATTCTGTCCTTGAAGCCGGGGCGAGCCTCAACAGGCTCAGAACCCACGCGCGCCTAAGTCTTTCAGACAAAGAGCAGACGAGTGCCAGGCCGGTCATGATCCAATTCTCGGAGGGTGGTTCTGCTTTCTTGGCGGGCAAATCCCTGCCCAACGAGAAGGGCAAACTGCAGGTCTTGCCATGCAAAGTATCTACGTTTCGTGCAGTCCTTGGGATGATGCAGCTGAGTGCATGCAAGGCGTCCATTCTTGGTGCTGTTGCTGGCGCACACTTCGCCAGAGACCTCAGAATGTCAAGCTATTCTGATGTAGACTGTAAGTGAACAGGGCATCTTCGAGAAGCCAACTCTCCTGGGTTCATGCCTCATGCCTCATGTGATGCTGCTTCACCACCAGGTTTCAACCACAGGGTTCAAGGACTAAGGCACTAAATGTGCTGTGCTGCGCACACGCCGGATGAGCCATTGCGATAGCTTGCATGCGGTGTTGCTTGGAGTCGTTGTTGCACTTCGATTTGCGTTCGTTTTTCCCATCTTTGTTTTTTTTCCGATACTGCTTGTTTCCTTTGATTCCCAGTTGTAGCTCGTGGACAGTGTCACGAGCTCAGCAGAGCAGTGACATGATTGGGAGTGCTGTCGAGGGCGGTTTCGTTTGCCAAGCGGTCTGTGGTCTGTGTCATGCTGGGACAGGGATGTGGCCACGGCATAAAGAGAACCTAGTTAAATCCGGTGGGGTAGGGCAGCAGACCCATATCCACCTTTCTCACGATGCGCGATGTTCTTTCATCGCGATTCCGACCGAGTTTTCTGTAAGGCCGCATGCCTTACAGGGGGTCGGACATCAGGTTTCGAGTAGCTGAGTAGCTGCAGGCAGAGGCATACACACCGTGCGCGAGACATCATGAGACTTCGCAAGGTCCGTGCTGTCGCTCCAGCTTACGGCGTCCCGGTGTCCCGGCCTTGGTTCATGATCGGTTGTTGATGTGGGAAAGCATCCCAGTGCGGAACTCTTGGTGCTTGAGAGGATTGTTCATTCCGACCACTGTGTGCAAGCCTCAGTGATCCTGAGCTCGTCCGTCATTGCAGGAGACTCCTATCATCTCCTATCCTTGTCTGGCGAGGCGAAGAAGCTGCTTCCGTGGTTCGACGGTATGCTGGAGGCAGTATCTTCCAGCCCAAAGCTTGAAGCTGCTGGCATCCCTGGAGAGGCCGACGAGGCCTTCTTCAAGGCTCACGGAGAACCCCTGTTCTCATCGCACATGCAAGCTCCCCAGGAGCATGGAGTTCGGGTAGCGCACGCTGCACGGTGGGAAAATCTACACCGAGGTTGGATCTTTCAGAGGAGCCTGACGAAGAGAACATCGAGCCGGATCCCACAGCCTCTGATGCAGGCCAGTACAGCCCGGTGCAACCTTGCATGGCCTGCCAAGGATCTGCAAGAAATACCTGACACGCATGGCTCCTATGAAGATCATCCTGGAGATGGAAATTGGAATTACAGGTGGTGTAGAAGACGGGGCTACTTGGACATTGGGATTCCGCAGTCCTCTTCGTAGAGCCATCCTCTTGCTTCATCTGTGCTGTGGCCCAGGTGGACAACACTGGAGCCGCAAAGGAGAAGCTATACTCCACCCCCGAGGAGTGGGTTGATGCCGGCATTCTCGTGATGCAGTTGCTCATCGGAAGCTGTCCCGCAGGATGTGTGGGCAGTCTACGCAGGTCTGAATCCTATCTCGCCCATGTTCACGATTGCAGCCGCTTTTGGCAACGTCCATGGAGTCTACAAGGCAAGGGACCTTGGGAGACTGGGCCCCAGATTCTAGGAAGCTCGCCTCGGAGGTTGACCAACCCTTTCTATGTATCGAAGCATGTGTTGGTGCTTTCCCTTCACAGGGAGGTGAGTTCTTCATTTTCTGAGGGCTTCCGAGGCCTCGAAGCCAACCGTGGATCAGGAATCAATCGCAGCTACACCAAGCCTCGATCCAGGAAAAGTGTGAATAGAATGAATAGACGAGTTGGAGTAGATTAGGTCCCTGGATTTGAAATTCAGGCGAACTCATCGGATGTACGCAGGCCTCAGACATTGGTTTCGTTGCAGGCCGGCAATGTGGTCTTGAAGCCAGAACTGCTGGCTGACTGCCAGAAGTATGTCCAGCGCTGAGACTCCGTCCACGCTGCGAGCTGCTGCAGTGCTTATGCCCTTCTCCAGCTGTGATCAGGCCAGCGAGAAATTAAAGGCCGAGCTGCAGATAAGAAGACCATCTCCTACATGCCATGCTACGTACCGACGAGAGCTGGTGGACATGCCCTGACCCACGAGACATGCAGGCAGAGGGCAAGGACATTGCGAAGCCACTCAACTTTGCCTCTTGATTGCCATAGTGCCAGGACAAATCGCAAGTCGCCACGAGAATTGCCTGTCTGCGGCCTGCGCTCAGAGGTTTTCCATGGTGGCTCTGGATCCGAGAAGCATCACATCACAACTGCGCTCAATGCTGGTGTGGCGACCTTAGAAAGTGAATAAGTTGAAAGTGTGCCCAACACGAGAATTCGTTGAATCAATGTCGCGACTGCACCGTGCTTTATGTGACCCCGTGATGAAAGCTTCTTGTCTTGTCGCTGGGGTTTCTCATGGGGGAAAGGATCGGCAGAAGGAATGGGAACACATCAAGTTCTAGTTTTAGATCGGCCCAAACTCGTCCGTTTTGGACGAGGTATCAGAAGCAACAGGGAAGCCATTCAATCATGCCGACATGTTTGACGAGCAATATCCCGTGCTGCGGTCAAGGTGGTGAAGATGAACGTGGACCCGTGGATGCAAACAACGCTCTGGCACCTCCCAGGGATGTAATTGCCGCAGCAGCTTTCGTTCTGTTGCCCCTATCAATCGGATGTGCCAAGCTTGTCGATCGTTTCTGCGTTGATGTCTAGTGACTCAGAGCGGTATCCAGTGCCAGCCAACATGTCGTAGTTTGGAGTAGTTTGGAGTGGTTAAACGGCTGGGGCTCTTGAAGAAAGCTCAGGACACCGACACTCAGTGGGCATACTGGGAAGGTCTGCTGAAGTTCTACAAGGCTTGGCACGTCCCCGGCAGGTGTTTGGAGCTTGTCTCAGCCTCTTGTTTTTCAAGTAGCGTAGTTCGTGGCACAGGTGAGAGCGCAGCCTGAGGCGTCCACACATAGTGCTTTTGCATGCGTGCTGTCAGGCCAAAGAGGGCTACCTCCAGGGCCAGATCGGCAATCCCGAGGGCGAGGAAGCGAGAAGTCGGCGTCAGGGCCATGATGACGTGTTCCACTTATTCCAAGACCCTCCAAAGTCTCATCTATGCACAACATGCAACAGCATAGTTTGAAACCACCCAAAACAAGTATCACTGTTGGGCTCGCAAGTGCTTCTCACTGAGTACAGCAGAACCGAAGCGCATGCACATCGCAGTAAGCACTGCATACAAGAACAGGGTGGCAATCCAGCGGCATCACGAGCCCCTGGATCCATGATCTGCTCCTGCTTGACATCTACTGTTGGCACCAGATCGGCATTTCAAGTGATGGCCCGTGGG